TGGGTGGTCGGTATACCAGCCAGACAGCCAAGCTCTCCTTGGTGCCCCACACGAGACCAATACATTCAATGCCGGAGATCGCTGGTGATGGCAGAGCTCTGAAAGAGCAATCCTCCCGGAATAACAACGCTACTCTTCCCCCCCGACCCACAGTCCGCGATTGATGGAGGACAGAGAAACCTGGGGGTGTTATCTCATGTAGGGAGACTACTTCGCCTTCCCGTACCCAGGTCTCCGTCACGCAAGCCAGGTCAATCCCCTGCGAGACAAAAAAGTCACACATGGTGGAGGTTTTGTTGCCTATGGACCTGGCATTTCACAGCACCAATGACGGAGGTGTGTAATCCTTGCTCTCCCTACCCTTATCCCTTGGGATGGGGCGTAGATTGGAAGGGGTTCGAGGATCACTGCATCTCGAAACCCTTCGCCGATAGAGATATCTAGCCCCACCGCCATTCCTCCCTAGCCCTTCAATTGTGGAAATCCCAGATCCCATACTAGCCTCCCCAATAGATGGGTAACATCCCCTCAATAACAAGTCATCCTTGGGCCAGGACTCCTGGGTCAAAATGGTATGGGAAAGAGGTGGAGGTCTGATAGGGTAAGTATCCCTAGAAGATAAAACCCAACCAACCGCACCCCAAGCGGGGGGGGGACAGTCCCATGGTGTTTCATTAACTGTCAATCCCCCTCTCCCTCCTGGGTTAATTGGAGGATTGTTGGTTCTATCTGTGGCTGTGGAAGTATTAATGAGGTATGTGTTATAAAATGTGGATCACTGGCCAACAAAGAGCCAGATTCGAATTCGGAAGATCTGTCCATCCTGTCTCGCCAGGAGTACAGTAGAGTAGGCTGATCATTCTGATAAGTTTTTGGAACATTAAGCAAAGGTCCAGATGTAGAGTTGGTGCTGGATATCTCCAGATTGTCAGCAACATAGAGTTCTTTGGTGTTGTTGCCATAGAAATGTCGGAGGCGCCAAATTCCTCATCTAATTTGGTGTCGTTTGAAAAGGGAACAGGGAGTTGCACTGATGTCTTTCTATGGAATAAAGAGCTGTTGGACGTCTTTAAATATCGTGCTCTAGGCTCTACTGTCCTTATATTTTGGGTAGAAATCTCAGTCTTTATACTCATTAGCCTCTTCTTCAGGTCTTGTAATTCTAGGCTTACAGAGTTCTTTTCTTCCTTCGGGCAATTAGTATTTCTAGTGTTGAGCTTGGTTTCCTTTATCCGCATTAGCTTTGACTCTATGCAAGGGACCAATTGCCTCCTATTTTTGTCCTTAAATACCCTCACTGGGCGGAGAGAATGGAACCACCATAGGGTATCCTTTATCTCCATGAGTCGAGATGGGAGGGTTGATGACCTAAAGGCTCATGGTGTTTCTCAAGGTAGGCAGGAAGTGGAAATTTTCTAGATCTACATTTCGGTAATGGTAATTCAGGAGCTGAGACAAGGACATAGTAATTTGTCTGCGGTTCATCCACCTATGAGTATATCGGTGAATCTCAAGCATTATCTGGTTCGTTTGCAAGACTTGACAGGACCTCACTTCATCCATAGTTTGAGTTGGTGAGTTGTTAACAGAGTCATTTCTAATCATCCTTAGACTTTCTTCGCCGCCTCTATTGCATCTGCAGAAAACAGCAGCAGGAGACTTTTTCAGGTGGTTCACAATTTAGCGGAAGCACCTGCAACATCGGGGCCCAGTACGGGCCACATGATCTCCTGCAATGATTTTGCAAAGTTTTTTGCAGATAAAATCGCTCAGATTCGGGAAGAAGTAGACTCCACCATGGGAGCAGGGCCAGGGCGGGAGAGTGCTAGAGTCCTGTCTAGTCAAGTTGTGTGGGATCAATTCCAGTCTGTTACCTCTGAGGATGTGGACAGGCTGCTTGGACGAGTGAAGCCAACCACCTGTCTCCTGGATCCTTGCCAATCCTGGCTTATAAAAGCTAGCCGGGAAGGACTGGGCGATGGGCTTCGTGGGGTGGTGAATGCTTCCCTCCGTGAGGGAGCCTTCCCAGACCCGCTGAAAGAGGCGGTTATTAAACCGCTTCTTAAAAAACCATCTTTCGATGCGGCCACAATGGCCAATTATCGCCCAGTCTCAAATCTTCCATTCTTGGGCAAGGTGATTGAGCGAGTGGTTGCTGAACAACTCCAGGCACGCCTGGAAGAAGCGGACCATTTGGATCCCTTCCAGTCGGGATTCAGGCCTCATCATGGGACTGAAACTGCCTTGGTCGCACTGGTTGATGATCTCCGGCGGGCTAGGGACAAAAGTGAGAGCTGTTTCCTAGTTCTGCTGGATCTCTCAGCGGCGTTTGATACCATCGACCATAACATCTTTCTGGACCGTCTTGAGGGGCAGGGAACTGGGGGCACTGTCATACAGTGGTTCCGCTCCTTCCTCCTGGGCCGTGTTCAGAAAGTGGGGGAGGGGGATGAGTGTTCAGACCCCTGGGCTCTCACTTGTGGGGTGCCTCAGGGTTCTGTCCTCTCCCCCATGCTTTTCAACATTTACATGCAGCCAGTGGGAGAGATTATCAGGAGGTTTGGGCTGGGTGTTCATCAGTATGTGGATGATACCCAGCTCTACCTCTCTTTTAAATCAGAACCAGGGAAGGCGGTGAAGGTCCTGTGTGAGTGCCTGGAGGCGGTTGGAGGATGGATGGCGGCTAACAGATTAAGATTGAATCCTGACAAGACAGAAGTACTGTTTCTGGGGGACAGGAGGCGAGCAGGTGTGGAGGATTCCCTGGTCCTAAATGGGGTAACTGTGCCCCTGGAGGACCAGGTGCGCAGCCTGGGAGTCATTTTGGACTCACAGCTGTCCATGGAGGCACAGGTCAAATCTGTATCCAGGGCAGCTGTTTACCAGCTCCATCTGGTACGTAGGCTGAGACCCTATCTGCCTGCAGACTGCCTCGCCAGAGTGCTGCATGCTCTGGTTATCTCCCACTTGGACTACTGCAATGCGCTCTACGTGGGGCTACCTTTGAAGGTGACCCGGAAACTACAACTAATCCAGAACGCGGCAGCTAGACTGGTGACTGGGAGCGGCTGCCGAGACCATATAACACCGGTCTTGAAAGACCTACATTGGCTCCCAGTACATTTCCGAGCACAATTCAAAGCGTTGGTGCTGACCTTTAAAGCCCTAAATGGCCTCAGTCCAGTATATCTGAAGGAGCGTCTCCTCCCCCATCTTTCTGCCTGGACACTGAGGTCCAGCTCCGAGGGCCTTCTGGCGGTTCCCTCACTGCGAGAGGCCAAGTTACAGGGAAACAGGCAGAGGGCCTTCTCGGTAGTGGCACCCGCCCTGTGGAACGCCCTCCCATCAGATGTCAAAGCGATAAACAACTACCTGACATTCAGAAGACATCTGAAGGCATCCCTGTTCAGGGAAGTTTTTAATATGTGACATTTTAGTGTATTTTTCATCTTTGTTGGAAGCCGCCCAGAGTGGCTGGGGAAACCCAGCCAGATGGGCGGGGTACAAATAATAATTATTATTATTATTATTATTATTATTATTATTAGATATTTGAACTTACTAGGAGTCAAATACCATCAGTACATCATTTTCATGTAGTTTTCTTTCAATGAACAGCAAGCTGTGAATTTCAGATCTGTTTTCCAAAGCCTCTCCCAATCTGCCATTTGTATGTTATATCCTAAGTCCCTTTCCCATTTAGTCATAGCTGATTTGACCTGTTCATCCTTTGTAAACCGTTCTAGGAGCAAGTTATACATTTTAGAGAGATCTCTTTATGTTACTTCCTAAGAGTTCTTTTTGAAATTGTGATGTCTCATAATTAAACCTTTCTTTTTGTCTATCTTTAAGATATCATTTAGTTGGTGGTACTGTAACCAGTCAGTTACAGCTTTCCTTATCTCTTCAAAATCTTTTAATTTCAGTTGGTTTTCAACTTCAGTTAACAGATCTGTATAAGTCAGCCGATTACTTCTCATATTCAGTTTTTTTCAGAGATATTGCTTCCAAGGGAGAAAGCCACCAGGGTGTTTTTTACTCAAGCAAATTTTTATACTTCTCCCATACCCTAAAAATTGATTTTCTTACTATATGATTCTGAAAAGCTCTATGCACCTTGGCCTTTCCCTACCATAAATATGCATGCTATCCATTATTCGTGTCCTTCCAGATCTGAAATACAGTATATGTGTTTTCCAATGTAATCCATTCCCGGTTCTAGCAGATACAGGATGTTTCATAATAAAGTTTCAAACCCGGCAGGGCAAAACCTGCTCTCTCTCTTACATCTGTTAATAATTTATTTTTAATCCTTGATTTTGTCCCTTGGATAGCTTCAAAAAGAGGATTAGACTGATGTCTGTGCTCTGCCCTCACAGTCCTAGGCAATAATGCTTCTTGATACTAGTTCCTGGAAAGCACAGGAAGGCAGAGGGCTCTTGTACTCAAATCCTGCTTGCTGGATGCCCACAGGCATCTGGCCACTGTGAGAACAGGATGCTGGACTAGGTGGGCTTTTGCCCAATCGAGCAGGCTCTTCTTATGTTCTGATACAGGCATCCCCAAACTTGGGCCTCCAGATGTTTTGGGACTACAACGTCCATCATCCCTAGCTAATAGGAACAGTGGTCAGGGCTGATGGGATTTGTAGGCCCAAAACATCTGGAGGGCCAAGTTTGGGGACGCCTGTTCTAAGATTGCAATATTTTTACAGTTACATGTTGCAAAGTAACACAAAAGTTTGACTTCTTAGTCATAGGAGAGACTGCTATTTGAGCCTGTGATCATTTCCTCCCTGGAAAAAGAGAAATACTGTGGTACCTCAGGTTACATACGCTTCAGGTTACATACACTTCAGGTTACAGACTCTGCTCACGCAGAAATAGTGTTTCAGGTTAAGAACTTTGCTTCAGGATGAGAACAGAAATAGTGCTCTGGTGGCGCAGCAGCAGCAGGAGGCCCCATTAGCTAAAGTGCTGCTTCGGGTTAAAAACAGATTCAGGTTAAGAACGGACCTCCGGAACGAATTAAGTACTTAACCCGAGGTACCACTGTACAGAGATGTGTCTAAGAAGCCAGTTCCACCATAAATTATAAAATAATGCAGCTTATTAAGTGTGAATGGAGTGATCATGTGTTTTTCTTGCCATTATCTCACCTGCATTCCTAAAGTTTGGAACATAAGAAAGGACAGTGGAGAAAGGAGACAGTGTTAAAATAAGAGAAGGGGCATACTGGGACTGACATGTGTTCAGTTCCTTTCTTGTCTTTATTGTAAGTCTTAACAGGATTCTCTTCCCCCTCCCCCCTCCTAAACAGGTGAGGAAGATGATGGCCAGAATTCTATGGAGCCATCTGTGAATTCATTGGGAAGAACAAAGAAACAGTTTAAATGCATGGAATGTGGGATGTGTTTTAGTCACAGTGGAAGACTGAGGACACATCAACGAATTCACATAGAGGAGAAACCATTTAAATGTACTGATTATCGAAAGAAACATCAAGGAACTCACACAGTGGATAAACCATTTGAATGTACTGAATGTGCAAAGTGCTTCAGTCGAAATGGAAAGCTTAGAATACACCAACGAACTCACACGGGGGAGAAACCATTTAAATGTATTGAATGTGGAAAGAGCTTCAGTGAAAGTAGAGCACTAAGAAAACATCAACGAACTCACACGGGGGAGAAACCATTTAAATGTATAGAATGTGGAAAGAGCTTCAGTAGAAGTGAACACCTTAGAATACACCAACGAACTCACACGGGGGAGAAACCATTTGAATGTATTCAATGTGGAAAGCGCTTCAGTGTAATTGGAAACCTTAGAAATCATCAACGAACTCACACGGGGGAGAAACCATTTGAATGTATTCAATGTGGAAAGTGCTTCAGTCGATATGGAACACTTAGAATACACCAACGAACTCACACGGGGGAGAAACCATTTAAATGTATTGAATGTGGAAAGTGCTTCAGTCGATATGGAACACTTAGAATGCACCAACGAACTCACACAGGGGAGAAACCATTTAAATGTATTGAATGTGGAAAGAGCTTCAGTGAAAGTGGAGCACTAAGAAAACATCAACAAACTCACACAGGGGAGAAACCATTTAAATGTATTGAATGTGGAAAGAGCTTCAGTAGAAGTGAACACCTTAGAATACACCAACGAATTCACACGGGGGAGAAACCATTTAAATGTATTGAATGTGGAAAGAGCTTCAGTCACAATGGACACCTTAGAAGCCATCAACTAACTCACACGGGGGAGAAACCATTTAAATGTACTGAATGTGGAAAGAGCTTCAGTGAAAGTGGAGACCTTAGAGTACACCACCGAACTCACACGGGGGAGAAACCATTTGAATGTACTGAATGCGGGAAGAGCTTCAGTGAAAGTGGAAACCTTAGAAGACACCAACGAACTCACACGGGGCAGAAACCATTTGAATGTATTGAATGTGGAAAGAGCTTCAGTCGAAATGGAACACTTAGAATACACCAACAAACTCACACAGGGGAGACACCATTTAAATGTATTGAATGTGGAAAGAGCTTCAGTCAATATGGACACCTTCGAATACACCAACGAACTCACACAGGAGAGAAACCATTTAAATGTATTGAATGTGGAAAGAGCTTCAGTCAAAATGGACACCTTAGAAGCCATCAACTAACTCACACGGGGGAGAAACCATTTAAATGTACTGAATGTGGAAATAGCTTCAGTCGATATGGAAACCTTAGAATGCACCAACGAACTCACACGCGGGGAAAACCATTTAAATGTATTGAATGTGGAAATAGCTTCAGTCGATATGGAAACCTTAGAATACACCAACAAAGTCACATAGGGGAGAAACCATTTAAATGTATTGAATGTGGAAAGAGCTTCAGTCGAAATGGAAACCTTAGAAGCCATCAACTAACTCACACGGGGGAGAAACCATTTAAATGTACTGAATGTGGAAAGTGCTTCAGTCTATATGGAACACTTGGAATGCACCAACGAACTCACACAGGGGAGAAACAATTTAAATGTATTGAATGTGGAAAGAGCTTCAGTGAAAGTGGAAACCTTAGAAAACACCAAAAAATTCACACGGGGAGAAACCATTTAAATGTATTTAATGTGGAAAGTGCTTCAGTCAAAATGGAACACTTAGAATACACCAATGAACTCACACGGGCGAGAAACCATTTAAATGTATTGAATGTGGAAAGAGCTTCAGTGAAAGTGGACACCTTAGAAGACACCAACGAACTCACACAGGGGAGAAACCATTGAAATGTATTGAATGTGGACAGAGCTTCAGTGAAAGTGGAGCACTAAGAAAACATCAACAAACTCACACGGGGGAGAAACCATTCAATTCAATTCTAATCCTTTATTAGGCATAATACACCACACATTGTCAAACAAGCATCATATACAGACTGTATAAAACTGGGAGCAGAACTGGGGAATATTGTTTTCTTTGTTATAGGTGGTTCCGTAGGTCCCAGTTCGTCAGGCAATAGGAATAGCCTTAGTATCCACTCACTGTTGGATAAAGGTTTTGTGGTATAAGTTGCATAGTTAAATTCCCTGGTGACCGGTGTGGCTAGGAGGGTAATAGATTTCCTTATGGATGCTAGTCTTTCAATTAGTACGTCCTGAGCTTTATGTATTTGTTCAATAGTTGCTATGAAGCGGTTTTCCTTCTCTATGCTGGAGCTTTCGTCTGGTACGTGATTTGGGGATAGGGTTTTAGGTCTTTTAGCCAGCTGGTTCGAGGCTTTATCTGCCTCTAATTGAAGCATCTTGAAGTTCTCGTCCATCATAGACATTGTCGGCTTTATTTTTATCTTATCAGTCGTGATTGTTTCGATGAGAGCGGTGGGAGTACCGGACACTTCGAATAGCCGAGTCACCTGCAATCCAACCCTTTGTAGCTTGTCCTTATTGTCTGAGACTAGTTTGGTTGTGTGCCAGTCTCTGAATGTTATCACAACTCTGTTTAGGTCCTTATCTGATGGCAGAAATTTAACATTAATGATGTTTTCTGCTGGGACGAGCCCTCTAACGGCTAATTCAGTTTTCTTGAGAATATAGATTCTCTGTTGTGCTGGGGAAAGGAGATCTTTGTGCATGTGTACAGGTAGGATGATAAGTTTTTGTTTATTTAGAATTAGATTTCTGCTAGAGTATGTTGTTTTAGGAATAGTTGCTTGCTTAGGGATCGGGTTTTCCCTTGATTTTCCCGCGGTTCCATTCGGGAGCGCTAGTTGCTCTGTTGAATTATGAAGCCTAGCCTTATGGAGTTCCTCTGTTGGATTGAATAGCACAGCCTTATGGAGGTTTTTATTTGGGCTTGGGCTTGGGCTTGGGCTTTTATCAAGGGGTGGCAGAACTGGGTTAGCTGGGCTCGTTGGATTTGAATTCTCTAATAGCTTAAATAGTCTTGTGAAGTTCACTTTCTTTGTTCGAGATGGGGGCTTTGTCTTCCTTCCCATTTTTACGTTCTTGGGCTTCTTCTCTTTATTCCTGGGACACTTCCTCTTTAAGAGGGGTTTCTTAGGGTCAATTAAATTTCCCTTCTGGTTTGCTTTAATCCTAAATGTTTTCCTTTTTTCCACATCATGTCAGGTTTTATTGTCCTTGATGTTGTTATTGTTTGGTGTACTAGAGAGAACTTTGTATGAATGCAAGTTGTCTATTCTCCTAGTTATTTCAGTCAGGGTGGTAAGTAGGCCCAAGCATTCTGAGAGGAAGTCTTTGATGTGTCCCAGTTCTCTGCCTATCTGCAACTTCTGTTCATTTAACAGATCATTATATAGTCCTGTTAGTATGTAGGGGAGGCATTCCAAGTCCAGATAGTGGGCTCTTGTGTCCTCCAGGTCCTCATTCGTCACAGTGAGAAACCCCATCTTGTCCCCGGGCCTGGGTCTTTGGGAGGGCTCATCTGTCTTAATTACTGGGTTTTCCTCTTGTGACTCTTGTTCCTGCTCCAGCCCCGGTTGATTCACTAAGGTTTCATCTTCTATGGCAACTTGTTTTATTTCCGTTGCCAGATTGACTCCCACCCCTTCTTCGTCTGTTTCCATAAGCTCCCCGTACCTGGTGCGGTCTATGGACCATTCGTGGGGGTGTCGTTTGTCAGCATTATTTATTTTGTCTGTTTTCGGTTTAAAATATTGTGAGATTTTCACCTGCCTTCCTCTTGTAGAGGGTTCAGCCGCTTTGGTGAGGGGGATTCCCAACTCTTTATAACTCTGTCTTGTGAGCACCATTCTCTAGGTTGAAAGCTTCCCTTATTGGGCACTTTGTTGTAGAAATAAAGGTAGAGTAAAGTTTGGAAAACCGGTATCCAGGCTGTTGGTTCAGGGAGCCTCCCAACCTTTCCCTCTTTAAGCCTTAACTTGGGGCGGGAGGGTATTCATGGGGGAGTTCTTGGACTTATCGAAGTTAGGCTGAATGGAGTTCAGCGGTTTCCTCTGCTTCTTTGGGTGTATTTCAAATCAATCCGTCGTCCGGGAGCTCCAAGGCTGTAAATCCGTGTGGCAGTATCAGTAAACAGTGCGACGGTAAAACAATAAAACAATAAAAGAATAGACTAATTAAAACGAGGCGACAAGCCAGACAACCAATAGTCTTTAAAGTCCTTAAGGTGCAGTTTTGGGGTCTTGAAGAGGCTAAAACTAATAAAAACACTTAGTTGAAGTCGGAGGCTCTAATTAGGCTGCTACCTCCGTTGCCATCTTGGACTCCTCTGTGAATACACCAACGAACTCACACAGGAGAGGAACCATTTAAATGTATTGAATGTGGAGAGCTTCAGTCAAAATGGACACCTTAGAAGCCATCAACTAACTCACACGGGGGAGAAACCATTTAAATTTACTGAATGTGGAAAGTGCTTCAGTCAAAATGGAACACTTAGAAGCCATCAACAAACTCACATAGGGGAGAAACCATTTAAATGTATTGAATGTGGAAGGAGCTTCAGTCAAAATGGACACCTTAGGAAACATCAACGAACTCACACGGGAGAAGCCATTTAAATGTACTGAATGTGGAAAGAATGTGGAAAGAGCTTCAGTCCATATCGACACCTTATAAGACACCGACTAACACATGGGGAAGAAACCATTTTAATGTATGGCATGTGGAAGGAGCTGCAGCAAAAGTAGAGCACTTAGAATACACCAACTAACTCATACAGGGGAGAAACCATTGGAACGTATTGAATGTGGGAAGAGCTTCAACAGGGAGGATAAACTTGCATTACACTGGCGAACTCTCACAGGGGAGAAGCTTAAGTCAATATGGAACCTTAGGAACTCACATAGGGAAAACTAGATTTATGAAACGTGGAAGAAGCTTCAGAGGGAGTGGAGACCTTAATATTCATAAGATAATTCACACAGGCGGGAAACCATATAAATGTATGGAGTTTTCCACTCAGGTTTCCCAGATTTCCTGGGAAGTGAAGATGATTGTCAAGTCTCTGGATGTACAGAAAAGAATTTAAATAATAATAATAATATTTTTTATTTGTACCACGTCCATCTGGCTGTATTTCCCCCGCCAATCTTGGTGGCTTTCAACAAAATATTGAAATACAATAGTCCTTCAGTTATTAAAAGCTTCCCTAAACAGGACAGCCTTCAGATGTCTTTTAAAGTCTGGTGGCTGTTTTTTCCTTTCACATATGGTGGGAAGGTATTCCACAGGGAGGGCACCACTACCGAGAAGTCCCTCTGCCTGGTTCCCTGTAACTTTGCTTCTCACAGTGAGAACTTTGCTCTCTCCTCCCGTCACCAGTCTAGCTGCCGCATTCTGGATTAGTTGTTGTTTCCGGATCACCTTCAAAGGTAGCCCCACATAGAGCGCATTGCATTAGTCCAAGCGGGAGATAACTGGAGCATGCACTACTCTGGCAAGATAGTCTGCGGGCAGATAGGGTCTCAGCTTGCGTACCAGATGGAGCTGGTAAACAGAATTGACCTGTGCCTCCATGGACAGCTATGAGTCCAAAATGACACCCAGTCTGCGCACCTGGTCCTTCAGGGGCACAGTTACCCCATTCAGGACCAGGGAGTCCTCCACACCTGCCTGCCTCCTGTCCCCCCAAAACAGGACATCTACATTGTCAGCATTCAACTTTAATATGTTAGCCGCCATCCATCCTCCAACCGCCTCCAGACACTCACACGGGACTTCCACCATCTTCACTGGTCCTCATTTGAAAGAGAGGTTGAGCTGGGTATCCGCATACTGGTGAACACCCAGCCCAAACCCCCTCTTCTCTCCCAGCGGCTTCATATAGATGTTGAAAAGCATGGGGAGAGGACGGAACCCTGAGGCACCCCACAAGTGAGAGCTCAGGGGTCTGAACACTCAACCCCCAACACGACTTTCTGAACACGCCCCAGTGTATAACAGTGCCTCTAGCTCCCAGCCCCTCTAGTTGGTCCAGAAGGATGTTATGGCTGATGGTGTCAAAAGCCTCTGAAAGATCCAGCAGAACTAGGAAACAGCTCTCACCTTTGTCCCTAGCCCGGCGGAGATCATTGACCAGCGTGCCCAGGTCTGTTTCAGTCGCATGATGAGGCCTGAATCCCAACTGGAAGGGATCCAAATGGTCCACATCTTCCAGGCTTCCCTGGAGTTGTTCAGCAACCACCCACTCATTCACCTTGCCAAAGAATGGAAGATTTGAGACTGGGCGATAGTTGGCCGTATTGGCTGGGTCTAAAGATTATTATTTTTTTAAGAAGCAGTTTAATACAGTGGTGTCTCGGTGCCATACGATTCAGGTTACATACTCCGCTAACCCAGAAATATTATCCTGGGTTAAGAACTTTGCTTCAGGATGAGAACAGAAATCGTGCAGTGGCAGCAGGATGCCCGATTAGCTAAAGTTGTGCTTCAGGTTAAGAACAGTTTCACATTAAGAACAGACCTCCAGAACGAATTAAGTTCTTAACCTGAGGTACCACTGTAACTGCCTCTTTCAGTGTGTCTGGGAAGGCTCCCTCACAGAGAGAAGCATTCACCACCCCACGGAGCCCGTCGCCCAGCCCTTCCCGGCTAGATTTTATGAGCCAGGATGGGCAAGGATCAAGGAGACAGGTGGTTGGTTTCACTCATCTAAGCAGCCTGTCCACATCCTCGGACATAACAGATTGGAATTGATCCCACACAACTTTACTAGACAGGACTCTAGCACTCACCAGCCCCCGCCCTGCTCCCACGGGGGAGTCTACCTCTCTGAATCTGAGTGACTTTATCTGCAAAAAAAAACTTTGCAAAATCATTGCAGGAGATCATGTGGCCCGTACCGGACTCAATTGGAGAGATGGTTCCATTAAATTGCTAACCACCTGAAAGAGTCTCCTGCTGCTGTTTTCTGCAGATGCAATAGAGGGGGTGAAGAAGGTTTTCTTCACCTTCGCTATCGCCATTTGGTAGGCTCAACGTTGAGCTCTAACCTGTGTCTGGTCAGATTCAGAATGAGGTTTCTGCCACTGGTGCTCTAGCTGTCTCGTTGCCCTCAGATCCATGGAAAACCACGGGGCTGTCTGGGCTCCATGCAGTCGGAGAGGGCGCTTCAGAACCAGACAGGCAATAGCCCTGGTTAACTCCACATTCCAACGGGCCACTAGGGAATCAGCTGAAAGGCCATCAGCATGGGATAAAACATCCCCTTCAGCATGGGATAAATCAGCATGGGATAAAACATCCCTCTGGAAACAATTTGGATCCATTAAGTGGCAGGGGCGGACCATACAAATAGAACCCACCTCCCTGCAGAGGGGAATCTATTCTATCTGGGGGGGGGGAGCACAGTGCCCCCAGAAGATTCCAGTTGTGGGTTGTAGTTGCATCTATACAAAGTGCACAGCCTTTGCCCCTCCATAAAGAAAGAAATGGGGAGGAGACAAGAGCTGGAATAGCTGACCAGAAGGAAAGGTAACCTGGGAACTTCATGTTGATCGACCACCTCAGCTCCCTGACCCCAAGAAAAGACCAGTCCAGGGAGGCAGGTGAGCATTACAGCTACACCCCACATTATGCTCTCCAGCAGCTATTCCTTCAGACAGGCCTATTTTCATTCAGTCTCCAGTGTGTCCATGGGTGGGTGTGTTTTAGGTTTCCTTTCCCCCCTTCCTTGCAGTCCTGACAAAAATCAAACCTCCACGCCAATGCTTTCAGCCCCAGAAGAGGAGCTCCCCTTGGTGTCAAGGGAGGGGGGTCCAAGGGAGCATCTGGAGCCCTGCCATTCCTTCTGGCGCTGGTCCCTTCCCTTCCTCTCTGCCATCCCAGGGCCACTCTTGACTCCCCAGCAGGAGACTGGATCTGTCTGTGATGGTGAGATGTCCTGGCCGGTTGAAGGACCACTTCCTGTTTCCTGGAGCTCCATCCTTCTTTCCCTTGCAAGGTGGAGTCATGGAGCAGGTGAAGACTGAGCACACCTAAGGGCGACATGGGGGGGGGTTCTGCTTAACCTTTCCCATCTGCTCCTTTTTTGGATCAAACTCCCCAGCTAATCTGTCTAGCTCCTGCTGCTGCTGCTGCTGCTGCTGCTGCATGTCACTGTTCCTGTGTCTCTGGAGTGTTTCTTTGAGGAGAATAGAGGACACTGCAAAATACATTGTGTGTAATGAGTGTGCAATAAGGTAGACAGAGGCAGAGCCCTCCCTGTAATGCGAACAGGGAGACTTCTGTCCAGGAGATTTCTGTATCAAAAATTCTTTGCTGAGGTGGAAAGGGGGGACCAAGTGTTATGTATTGAAGTTCTCATCCTGGCCACCAGATGTATTGTGTATATAGTTTTCACTCAGGTCCATATCAGTTAATTTCGGCGGGAGACCCTGGCTTCTTGTTGTTGTTACAATGTTGGCAGCCAGCTACCTATAAAAGCAGGCCGGCTGAGCTGTTTTATACCAGTTCAGTTCCAGCTTAGTATAAACAACCACTTGGAGAAATCTCTGTGTCGTCTGATATGTCCACCAACAATTTAATACTAAGTGAGGATGGAGTGGAACCATGTTTACATGAACATGAGAAGGCAAAATATGTTCTCCATTTAAATATTTATTAAAATAATTTATTCAGTTACCGAGAAGAGTTATTTTTTGCCGTAAAGTACTTCATACATTGTAAGAAGTGGGTCCTGAGACCCTTGATCCCCTTCCTTAAAACACCATCTGAACAAAATTGGTGAAGCAGTAAAGAGTTTATTGAGGACTAAAGGTAAAGGGACCCCTAACCATTAGGTCCAGTTGCGGACGACTCTGGGGTTGCGGCGCTCATCTCACTTTACTGGCCGAGGGAGCCGGCGTACAGCTTCCGGG